TTCCTGCTTGTCTCTCAAAAGCTCAGGTATAAACATTGCCCTCGTTACCACAGCCACCTCTGGGAACCGCAGAGTTGCTCCTCCTGTCACAGCGGCCCTATGCTCTCCTGGCATTTCTGCATTCCCAGAGTTAAAATGGTTTTTCTTTTTGATAATGCTTCCAGAAAAGCTCGCCTCTCTGAGAAATTGCTCTTGCCTTTGTCTCATCTCCACACCCTCTTTTTCCTGCACTCTTGTCTCAGGTCCGATCATGTTTACCTTCAATTGGAAATGCCTTAAGGCTAGGGAGTACGTGTAATTATGAAAGAGATGATTAAATCTCATTACTCTGAAGAAATTACAGTTAATAATGGTCTTAAGAAGCCAGGTGAATGTGTATTGAATCAATGACGCTATAGGGAGAGGGAAGAATTACTATACGACATTTTTGCCTTTACAAAATTGGTCCCAAATAAAGCTTATTTCTTTCCAAAACCTAGATAAATCCCTTATAATCTTACACTGTCTTTATTGCAGAAAAAAAAAAAAAATCTCTGCTTGTGGCAAGCTGCCACACCGGATCCTTTACTGCAGAACACAACATGCTGCTAAAACTGGGCTAGAAACAATAAAATGTAAGTAAGTGTCATGACTGGAAAAAAATTATAGGATCAAGAGCCTATAATTGGCATAAAATTGGCACCATCATGGATCTAAGGCAGCTGCCTTGTAGCGACTGTTTCCTTATTTACTGGTAGATGCAGCTCTCTGAGAGTGGGGCAGAAAGTTAAAAAAAAGTTAGCAAAACACTTTGGAGGCTCACCATGCACTGGTAGAAGAGGCTCCATCTCATTACTGCTGGCAAGGGTTCAATTCATGACTTTGCTCTGGAGTACCTCGCACTCACAAACTTTTTTTCCTTGGATTTGGGGTTTTTTAATAACTAAATATTTGGAGGAATCATTTGGCACTTGACCATGTGATTAAACCCATTTACAGTGATGCGAGACCTACTGGCTTTCAACGAAGTAGGTGTGGAGGCACCTCTGCTCCAACGCAGCCGTTGCTCGCTGGTCAGGTCCTCCCACTCCCGCGCTGCTCTGCTCAGCCCCCTCTTTCTGCCTGCACTCCCTCTGCGGCCACAGGCCTTCCTGGGCAGCCGCAGCATCCAAGCCTGCAGCACCGGGGTTTGCCTTTCCTGACGCTTGCTCTCCCACCTTCCAGTGCTTTGGATTAGCGGGCAGCATCAGGGAGGCCTCTCCTGGCAGCTGGGGCTGGCTGGGCTCAGGGAGACCAGAACTACCATCGCGCTACGCCCATCTCTGACAGATACCATGACAAATACAAGAGAGCGGGCGAGTGGGCTTTAGCTGGAATAACAGTGAAACAAAGATTCCCTGGCACTGGCAGCAAGAATGCTAACAGCAGCAACAGGGGTTTAGGAGCGTGTGCAAGGTACCCGGTTGCCAAGGGAGAGAGGTGAGATCCCGCCACCAGCTGCTGCATTTTGTAGATTCCCTAAGTACTGCCCAAACTCCCGGGCCACCCAATTTGCACAAAAATTGTTGTTTTATCTCTTTTTTCCTACTGTAACATCAGCACAATGAAAAGAGGGGGCAGAGAGCGGAGTGGGAAGTGGCTGCCAGGAGCTTTGAAAGCATGACCTTGTCCCCGTGCTCAGGCCTGGAAGCTCTGACTGCCTGAGCACAGGGTAGGGGGTGCCCCTGTGCTGCCCAAGCAAAGCGCTGAAGGTGTATTTAAAATCCTCGCAGTGCTGTGCAGCTGCGGCGATCCCTTGGGAAAGCAAAGCCGGGGTGGGTGAGCCGTGCTTGCCCAGCCACTCCTGCTGATCCAGTGACGGGGAGGCAGAAAACCTGCAAAAAATAAGCATGCCCTGAGATATTTATACAGCTTAGGTACGGTACCAAAGCAGGGGTCATGCAGTGAAGTGTTTGAAGTAGGAATATGAGGAATGTAACTATGCAGGAGAAAGAATTTCGGCAGGACCTGAGCTAAGGGCTTTGATGACAAAGCTCTGGTGAAGGAGGTTGTGGTCAGCTGCAAGCATTTAACCTACAGGTGGGGCTGGGCCTTTTGGGTTTACTGGACAGGCAAGCAGCATGAGGGAATGGCAGAAAAAAGAGATGAATAGAAGAGAAATTCAGCCCCATAAGTATGGCTGCATGGGATCAGTCTCAATGGAAATGTCACCTCTCCGCCAGGGGCCAGGAAGGAGGAAAGGACAACCTCAGCATCTGTTTCTCCGAACACACTGGCCCCACTCGTTCCCCATTCATGTAGACTGTCATGAGTTGGGTAGAGTGCAGGCTCTAGAAGCAGAGGAATGAGAAGGCCATAGTATAGGGCCTTGCTGAGATGCCTCCAAGGGCACTGCACAAATCTCTGTTTTCTAATTGACTTTCCTAGCTCTCATGCTCACCTCAGCTCTTCTCACTGGGAAATCACACTGCAGCCAGACCCTGCTGCAGAACCAGGCGGGGAAGCTGGGGGATCCTCCCCTCTCTTTTGCTCTTTATTTTATTGGTATTTGGGGAAAAGTGGAAGTTTCTGTTCTGCCCAAGCTGAATCACTAGCACAGAAAAATCTGTAACAGTGATCGGCAGGCACAGCTTCTATGGCCAGCACGTGTTCTCCAGGGGGCTTGGAGCCAACAGTGTGTTCACTTGTTTACAAAAGCAGTAAAACCAAACAAACTATTAATTTCACCCCACAGATATTTTATTTGTGTGGAGAATTTTGGCACATAGTAAGTGTTTGGACCATGTAATAAATACAGCTTGTGTTCCCACTTTTATATTTTATTCTACCCTTGCATATAAAAGCCATGGGGTTCACGTGTTTTCAATCAATTTGTGTCCTTCTATCTCATCCTCCAGTATTTCCTCCAGAGAGACGTTGGTTCCCAGGCTGAAGATGTTCACGATTCAATCTCAGCTCTTTTCTAAAGGGAATAAAGCATCTCTACACGGATTGCAACCTGCTGATCAGTATCTTCCAGGTCAGCAGAAGAGCTCGGGATACCCAGTTGCAGTTCCTGTATATCCTAGTTTGTTACAAACAGACATGAATCCTCTAACAGTAGGAATCCTCCTGGCTTGGCCTCACCTTCCAGGACTTGGGTGGGGAATCCCCTCTCCTTTCTCCTTCCTAGGTTGCCATTTCAGTATTTCCTTCCCATTTGTTTGTGCCACAGCGTCAGGCCAACAGCCACAGCCATGTAACGCTGTTAGGGGACACCCAGCCTTCTTTCTGTGGGAAAGAAGCTGTGGAGAACAAGATACAGAAATTCCATGTGCCGGGCTCAGAGCAATGCTTGCCCGCCTCTGTTTGCTCTTTCCTGTCAGGGCAACAGGCAGCAGAGTCGGCCGGCAGGAGCTGCTGAAGGGCAGTGGGCGGTGGGCCCGCAGCCCGGCGTGCCTCCGGGCTAGTGGCCAGAGCTCCGCTACCCTGCATGGGGCGGATTTCCTTGTCCTGGGGGGCTGCTTCGGGGTGGTGGGGCGGCAGGCTGCTATGCAGCTCAAGCTGAAGAAATGCAGCTTGCTGCCCGAGAGTGGCCACAGGGCTGTAGGGGTCTGTAATCACAGCCAGGCAATTGGTAGAGAGGCCATTGTATGGTAGCAATCCTGCCGAACGGGGAACATGTCACCCAGAGAGGCTGGGAGTAGCTGAACCAAGCTACAGGAGACCTGATCTCCCAGCGGGGTGTTGGACCACGTCCCCTCCAGGTGCATCCCTCCAGCCTGCCATTCCGTGGCCCAGGGCTGGGCTCAGGTCTTGTGCCCTCAGGAGAGGCTGGGGGGGGAGCCTGTGCCCCAGAGACCATCTGCCTGCCCAGGTCCTCTATCCCTGGACCATAAGTCTCCTCCAGCCCATTCAGATCTTTCTGCACAGCCGTTCAGTGTGTGTCCGTCAGCCAATGTTACTCAGGGAGGAATAATCCTTCTCCCGGGGCAGAGCATCTGCACTGGGTACATGCAAGGCTCTGTGAGAAGCTGTGAAACAGATGTGGTATCTGGAGCAGCAATTGGTCTCCACAGGTGGTGCCTGTGCCGGCCCTTTTCTTCTGTCTTTTGTGCTTATAGAAGAGAAGAAAATATATTAAGTTGCCGCTCCTGCTGCTGCAATCAATTAGCTGCCTTCCATTTCACAGCTGGGTGCTGTTTTCCTTGGGGAAAAGTGATGCAATAAACATGCTTCAGCTAATGAAAGCTCTCTACCCCACTCATGGCTTTTTGAGTTATGCCTTTGGGGAGAGGCTGTCAAAGGTACTGCACAAGGTCCGATTTCTCCGACTCCTTTTGAAATCTTTCTTGCTTCTGTACAGGCTCTGGGGGTGCAAAGAACTGCAGGGCCTTAGCTTTGCCAGCTTTCCCCTCCAGCAGCCAGGCTGCAGTGCCAGGGTGGGTGAGCACAGCTCTGAGTCCTGCTTGGCTGTTCACACCAGACTAGAAACACAGGAGGGAATAAACCTTTTTGTGTGGTGAATGTGTTGTGCTGTAGAGAAGGGAAAGGAGGTATTTTTCCTTCTCCAGAAAGCAGACGGTCATCCAGCTACTAGAGAGGATAGGGGATAGATTACTTGAAGGGTTCAATGAAATTAAATTTTAGTCTTGTCCCTGAAACCAGTCACACTTTTTTTTTATATATATATATAATACATTTATTTCTGAGAAGAGTATTCTAGAGATTAGAATAGGAAATTGTGATTTTCTTGGACCTCCTCCTAGTTGAGTGTGTTGTGACTACCTGCCAAAGAGCACTGCGAAAGCGCGTTCTCCGTACCTGCCTTACGGGTGCATGGCCCTACATTTGCTGGATTTACTGTATATGGCTTCAGCACTAGTTAGCATCCAGAGCTGGAAATTCAAAACACAAAGCACCCAGAATCCAGAGCCATTCCCAGAAATGAATATCTACATCTGTGTGAAAGGTATTACCTGGCTATCCATGTAGATATCAAGCTGCATAAATAGTAGTTATCGGTATCAAACATTCAGATAATCATTATGTAGTTTGGTGAACTTCATCTGCAGACACACACACATGTGCAAGCATACCTGCCAGCAGATCATGTGCTGTCAGGGCTCTTTCACATGCAGTTCGTATTTCACGGGTCTGACACACCTTTTCCACAGAAGACTCTCAGACCCAAATTTCCCATATGGTAGAGGGACTTCTTCGTGCTCTTAAAGAAGAACAACACCCTCCCTATATAGATACCTTATACGAAACCAGAATGTACAGGACATGCTGCAGAGAGCACAAGGGTTAGCATCCATGCAATAAAGCCGGTCCTGTGGTGACATTCCATTGGGGTGTGCAATGCAATAAAAGGAGGTACACTGCTGAGTTACACAATTGCCTTCAGGCTTGTGTAGTTTTAAGTTAAATGCCAGGACATATGTCAACTTAATGTGCTTTTATCTGGTTATGTCAAACTGGGAGACGATGTCCCCTTCCTCCCTGGACTAGCAGTAGTTAAGAAGCAAAATAAACCACTTCTCCAGCCATGCTGGCTCCTGGATGATCGTGCCGACACTTGGGTAAGGAATTTTACTCTTGTCAATGAGATCTTTGAAGTTTCTCAAATACAGAACTGTTTGCAGACATTGGCTTGTGGTTTCCTTGATCAGCGCTGCAGTTTGAGACAGATACTTCTGGTCAAAACCCTGCTTTCTTTAATCCTCACTTGGGCCTAATTTCTGACGTCTCCTTATCCCTAAATACATGTTCAAAGCCCAAGTTGATGATTCCAGTTGGTTTATTTAATTTTTCTTAATGTTTCTTTCTTTGTGCTGGATTATACTGTCAGGCACTGGAAGGGGCTGCTCAGGGAAGGAGTCGAGTCCCCATCCCTGGGGGTATTTCAAAGCCGGGCAGATGAGATGCTTAGGGACAGGGTTTAGTGGTGGGCTGGCAGGGTTAGGGGAATGATTGGGCTTGGTGATATTAAAGGGCTTTTCCAACCCAAACGATTCCATGATTCTATGATTCTACACTTTTAATAAATTGCCATTTTAAAGATGTTACATAGCAGTACATAATCAGCTGGCCAGGTAAATATTCGGTCTACTCTTCTCTCCACAAGAACGTCATCAGGAAGCAACATGGATTACTTGCCCACCTGCAAAAGGTCTACAGCAGTAGGAGTTTAATATTCGGTGCTAACAGATACAGACAAGGCTGATGGATTCCGAAATGTTGTGAATGGCACTTTGCTGTGCACTATGCACGTTTGGGACAAAGAGGAGCTTTCCTGGTGACCCAAACCTGGTCCCTTGTGCTGAGCTGCATGGGGGAAGACGGGAAGCAGGAAGAGCTCGGCAAGATGAGAAAGAAACAGAGGCTGCAAGAACAAAACATGTGGGTCAAATGCTGATAAATGCTGTACTCTTAAAAACTAAGAGCCACAATGACATGAAAAATACAGTTTCAGTGAAGTGACAGGTATGTGGAGCATCTTGCTCAAGTGTGACACACCTGGGATATGTATGGGGTGTCTGCATGGAAGGTAGGCTTAGATGGAAACAGGAGAATGCTGGTTATGTTCCTGGCATTATATGGGATGTGGGGTTTCATTAATGAAAATTTTGTCAACGGACCTTCTCATTGTAACGGTGGGCTATAACAACCCAACAACAACAACAATTTGCATTCATTAGCGCCTGTAAGAATTGCAGGCGTTCCAGTCAGGAATAGGACCGTTAACATTACTTTTATTTGCGCTACCTGTTGAATGATGTTACCTGTGTAACCACATGAATTTCTTCATGACAGGGTGATAGAGGGCTGCGGTTCTTTGGACGTGGTCTCACATCAGGCTACCTCTGGCTTCCAGCTCTTCCCCTCAATCCATGTCTTCTTCCAGACAGGGTGATGAAAGATTTAGTGTATGCTTTGGCCACCATGTCTTTCCCAACAGAAGAGGAAAGCAAAAGTCTACTTCTATTTTTATTCATATTTGTGCCAACAGTTTTGTTTGTTTACATGTTATTCACAGCCCACCATGACATGGGAAACTCCAGTCAACTACCAAAAGAAACAGGGCACGCGCTAACAAGAAGGTGGACCTCTTCCCTTGCACAGTCCTGGTGGCCAGTCTGGCCGGCTGACACCATGGGTGGAGGCGCCTGGTCCCACAGGCATTGCTTAGGAAAAGCTGTGGCAAGTCTGCTATGTATCTTTCTATGGAATTAATTATGTTTACACAGCAAAGAATTTGCCTGCTGGGTGCAAGCATATGCGCCCAGCACCTCTGGTTTTATCAGTGTAAATGTAGGCTCATTCACGCTTTTTAAGCACATCTCGTCTGTCGAGGGAACCTGACTCTTGCTGTGCACCTGTAGCACCTCTGCCTAAGACAGTGTGGCTGTATTAGGCTGTAACTAGTGTGAACAGATGCCTGCTGCGCTGCCTGCGAGCGTACAGCCAGCACTGATGCACCCCTTCGTCTGCTATGCAGATACACAAAAGCTGCTTTGGAAAATAATTCAGACATAAAACTGCAGTAGCTGCAGAAAGTGCCCCGTTAAGGGCTGTTTAAATGGCTCTGTGTAACAAGGTGCAATTACCTTGGCACTCTGTGTCCTTGTTTTCCTGGATCCTCCCATGGGGGCTCTGAACTGAGCAGTGAGGCATTTTATTATATTTTAATTGTGGATTTTATAACATCCAGTGAAAAGGCTGCCCACAGCAACACATTAGAGTTATCCCTAAAAAACATCTGATGCTTTTTTAGTCACCTGGGGTTGCCTGATTTGGGGTTTGGTTGGGGTTTGGTTTTGACAGCTGGTTGGTGTTAATCAGTTCTCAAAAGGCAGCATTACCTGAAGGCCAGAGCAGGGAGCCAGACACCAAAGGACAAAGACGAAGGGGTAAGTCTGTTTCTAACCAGATATATAAAACAGGAACCTACTGTTACAACCTTAAATCCACACCGCAATAGTTCCGAGTGCTACAGCTGAGCCCTGCCTCTGTCACCAGTGCTGACATTGACCACAGTGATACATTTTGCTTTTGTAAAACATTTTAATTAGGAATAACAGGAATTTACTAGGAACTCAAGTTATTAGTAATTAATACAGGCGTTACAGCAGATGTCAGTGCAATCTGAATTCCCAAAACGTGTTAAGTGGAAACAACCCTCTCCAAGCCTCAGCACGTTTCACTAGTTCAGCGCTAAAAGCACAGCCTAATTCAGTGGGGCTGGATCTCACCCTGTTTCCCCTGCGGCAGGGCTATCAGTGAGCTGGCTGCCTGGCAGCCTTGGCCTGCACTCTGCCACCTCTCTGTCTGCTTCCACCTCCCTCCAAAACGCGGTAGCTCTGTGTGGCTGCCAGCCTAGGCCTGTCCACCAGCCTTCTCATTTTCTTTGTTTAAACCTGATACTCTTGTCATGGAGGGCCCTTATATTTCTCTAACAGAGGAAACTAGCAATGAGCTCAAACCTACTGTGAGTTGTTTAGTTGATTAGCTTTTAAATTAATGAAATTAACAGCATAGTTAGGCTTTGGGGTTTGGGTGGCTTTTTTCTTTTTAGTTTTTCCTTAATCTAATCTAGAAAA